GACGCTGGAGGGGACGGTGACAGCGGCGCCCCTGGTACCCCAGAAGACGTGACCGGTGTCTGGATGAAGAAAATGCTTTAGAGATTCATCTCAGAAAGGATGAGGAACATTTGCATTGAGGGCTTCTGGACCCTAAACAGAAAGGATGAAACATGAAGTAGACAAGAAAGTAGTTACCACAGATTTAAAAACTGGGTCTTGATGATCCTGCTGGACATTTGTTAGGAACATTTCTCCAGCTCCACCACTGAAGCTCCAGCAGTGTGCTTTGTTTACGGAGGTGAAGCAGTTCAAAGTTGTACATCAGTTTTTGAAAACCTTGTAAAGTGAGGGGAATAAACTGGAGGCAATGTCATTACACACTCCACTCTCAATGCATGCATGCAGTGTCTTACTGTGGATCCTCCTTGTCTTTGTGCATACGTGTGTGTGTGTGTGTGTGTGTGTGTGTGTGTGTGTGTGTGTTTGTGTGATTGTGTGAGAGAGTGTGTATGCATATGTTTACTAGAGGGATGACAGTGGATACAAACTTGAGTTTGGGCTCTTCACAAAGCCTCTGTTGGATGACAGATCTATGCAGGATTCACTGCTTACAGTTCACTGATAGAAAAAAACTTTTACAATGCCCTTAATCTAACAGTGCTGAATATTAAAAATACTTACTCTTTTGTTAAATTTGGCCCTTTTTAAAGTATGAATTGTAACTTTTAGGCTTTTATATTCTCCTACGTTTTTAGAGATTGAAGAGGTCAAGTTGGATGAGATTCTTTAGACCTCTGTGTCATGCAACAAAGGCTCAAACTCCTTCAAAGCAAGTATTCACTTCCCCGACTTTAATTTATACTGCCTTTCAGATGTGTGAATTGTCACCCAAGTCAAACTTTGAAATGCTGCACTTCCTAAATGACAAGTGTGTAACATTAACCGAGAGGTTTTATCTCATGCGTGTGCACCCCCTCAGCCCTCTGTGTATGTATCGTAAGGCTTTGTCGGCTCCTGTCAACAGTTAATAGTGCGATTTATATAGCTACAAGCTGGATTTCCATGTAAATGCACAGCTGTGTCACACAAGACAAGTGGGAGATTAAGATCGAGAGCAGGGATGCAGTAGCGGCATCCATCCTACTATATTCATCTGCTGCTGCTTCCGAGAGCCTGAATCGCCTCGCAGGAGAATTACACCGTTTTTTTGTTAAACTGATGAGTATGTGATCTGTCACTCTTCTCCTCTCTCGATCCCTGATTGTTTTTTATGTGCCTCTCATTTGATGGAGTATATTCTGCTTGTAGACTGCCCCTTCCTCTCTCTGAGATCCTCTGTTTTCCCCTGCTCTCCCTGAATAAGAATCTGATTGTCAGTCTGGAGAAAGTGATGAGACGTGTGGTTATAGTAATGATACATCCTTGTGCTCAATCCCCATTGATTTTGCCCTCATCTCTGTAATATGAGTAATGAGAAGATGAGAGATGCTATGGGTCAGATACATACAACAGGAGAATGTGTTTCACATCATGTGGTGGAGATGAGGACCCGTCTGCTTTGCTGCAGCAGAGGTGCTACCGTACTGGCTCAGAGTCGTGCTGCTACCTTTTGTACGGTAGGAAAGACCAAGACGTGTGTTTGTTTTTCCAGAGATGTTGACTCCTCTGCGAGCGGCTGTGCACAGTGGTCTGTATTAGCAAAAGTGATAAGCACTTGAATATCTTTGTTTTTGGCCAAATGAACTGAACCACAGTATGTTGTTTAGGGCTGCAACTACTAACTGTTTTTGTTTGATGAATTGTTTGGTCTTTTAAAATGTCAGAAAATTGAGGAAAAATGCCAATCACAACTTTCTCAGAGCCCAAGGTGACATTTTCAGATTGCTTGTTTTGTAAAAACATCAGTTCAAAACCAAAAAGGTATTCAATTTAGAATGAGATAAAAAGCAGCAGATCCTCACATGTGACAAGGTTTAAATTCGAAATGTTTTCTTCATAAATAACTTTAAGGAATGTTTTGTTACGTTGTAAAATTATTATTTCCTTTCTTTCAAAGTTGGGTGAAAGGATTGATACAGTTTTCATGTCTGAACAGTAAAAACAGACAGCAGTCGGTTAGCTTAGCTTAGCATAAAGTGGGGAGCGGCAACCTGCAGTTCTTTAGCCCCTCTTGTTTTTAAACATTTCGCCAATTAAAACGTGCAATACACACGTGTCCTTTTAAAATTTAAAGTTTAAAAAACATCGCAACATGTATTGTAGTTTTCAATGTTTTGATAGTAAAGGTATAAATTATAAAATAAGACAATTCACTGTTTTACTGACTGCACATAATCCCCCATAAAAAGTTGAATTGTCCTTTTTACCTTTACTCTAGCTTTTGACAACAAACGAGATCTAATGTATTTATTAGCTGTAGAGGTGCTGGTGGATTTTGCTATATTGGACGGGGTGGGACCAATTATTTTACCCCGTTTCCAGTTTTTATGCTAAGTTAAGCTAAGAAGCCGCTAACTGCAGTTATATATTTGTGTTATCAACTGTGGTATCAACCTGAACAATCTCTAACTATTCCTTCAAAGCTATTAATGGGTTATCAAATAAAATGTTCTGTTAATTGACTAATTGACAAATCATTTCAGCATCAATGTTGATCTGTTTTCTTCTCTTTTTGCACATAATGGAAATGTATCATTCCACTCAATAAAATACTTTTTATCAGTAGTCTTGCGTTCAGCAGTTTGTCAGTAAAAATGCGAGAAATACATTTGAATATTATCTCTCTGTGTGTGTGTTGTTGCTCCGAGAAACGAAGAGGAAATGTAGAGGTTTTTGTGGAGGATGGGAGGCCAGTGACTCACCTTCACTCTCCACTTCCACTGACAACAGCTGCCATTTTTACTTTTCAATCTCTCTGTTCCTGCCTGGTTGTGACATCAGGCTGTGTCATACTGAAATAATAATGAAACACAGGCAGACCTACAAGGCCATAACTCCCCGGAGCTACAAACAGATCCTTGACCGTCTTCTTAACTGACACATCACCTGAAGGTAAAGCACATAGATCAAGGGAACATTATAAGATGATGAAGGGAAGTATTCAGCAGAGCGTCATGAACACTTGGGTTATTAGACAGCTGAGTTCACTAAAATGTACTTCATAACCATTTACGATGATTGATGGTTCATCATAAAGTATAATATCAAAAACTATGAACAGGGCTTAAAAGTAACTGTTTTTATTTTTATCCTCTTCAAACACACACAAATACTAAGTTATAATAATATCAGAGCTGAAACTAACCATTATTTTCATTATCAGTCAGTAGTTTTCCCCCAAGTCAAGGTCCACTTATTGACTTTTTCTGGAGCTTTCAACCACAACTTAGTCTGCACAGTAGATGGAGTTTGCTCAGTTGTTGCAGATGCAGGTAATGACGGGACTGTTAGATGTGCCTGAAAGCACCAAAAAACCACGAGTTGAGTGGGGTTTTGGTCAAAATTGGGAACAGTCAGATGTTATTGTCATACAAGTCAGTTTTAAATGAAAAGCAATCTCACCTCAAGGTCCATTTAGCAGCTGTTCCAGAGCTTTCAGTTGTATCATACAATCTTCCTCAGAAGGAGATTTCCCGTTGAATTTAAAATTTCAATTTTGTTCTGAGCACTTTCAAGACTTTTTTATTGAGACTGAAAGTTAATTCTTGAATTTGGAAACAGTAGTTGGTATAATGATCTAGTACTGCCCCCGAGGCCAAAAATGCCATCTAACATACCAAAATGATTTCTTATGTTTAGCTTTGCATACATTTCAGAGCAATCTGGACATTGAAGAGAAAGCTGTTCATATTTATTACAGTCCTTTCTCTACAAGCAACCATCATCAGAGTGGAAGACTCTCTCCTCTTCTTTATTTTTGTTTTCTCACGCATAGTTTAAGCAAAGCCACATTTTAAATATAAAACACAGTGAGCACCACTGAGCATGATTTATGCCGCAGCTATTGTTGCAGATTAGAATGAAAATCTGTAACTGCTCAAATTACTATTATCATTCCTGGGAATGATTGACATTACAAAGGCTCACTGACAGGCAAGCTGTTGGAAATCCAGAGTTTCCATGGAAATTGGACAACCTGTCAGACACACATACACACACACAGTCTCCAAAACAGCATGTGTGTGCTTGTTTGTTTGTGCGTAAATCATTAAATTTAGCAGGCTGCCACATGCGGCTAATGTCGACGTTGTTCCACTTCTAAAGACAAGGAGTGTATGTGTCTGCGCTCACTGGTGAATACCGAAGCTGTTCAATGTTTGAACAACCTATGTGACATATTCAGAGCATCCTGCCTGACTCTTCAGCCTGAAATCTCTCTGCCTCTTTGGAGATGGCTGCTCTAATATTGTCCTGTCACTGGTTTCTCCCCACCAAGTCAGGTGTGAAGGAAGACAGACACTGATCTTTATTAGCAGAGGGAAACCATAGTGACAGAGGAGACGGGAGAGTACATCACCACACTGAAAGGCTGAGTATATTCAATTCCATCTGTGAGTGCTCGAGTAAGAACGCGAGGCGCAGAGGAGATGGAGTAAATTTTGAAGTGGGTTTAAGAACAAACAAATCCATCTGAGATAGGGCGGCTTTAATTTCTGTTGTATCTGCTGCCAGCCTAGTATGCACCAATTGCATAGGAGACTTGGATCCAAGGTATTCTGTATTTTGAAATAAAAGACTGGAACAGAAAGAAAACAACATTTAAAAACCTCCTTGGATTGTTTGAAAGGTTTCCAGTAAGAAAACAACAGAGCAGGTGTGGAAGTCAACTCAAGCAGCACCGATTTCAATAATGTCTTTGTGGTAAAAAAAATATGCTTAGACTGAGCTCTGCCTGGCATATCTTCAAGGGTTTGTAACAGAAAAAGGCGATCTGGAGGTCTTGAAACAGTATTACAGAGTAATTAAGGAAACTCAATATATAATAATAAAACAGGCAGTTAAAGACACAATCACATTCCTTTGATCCAGTGTTTCATCTTTATTCAAAATCCGAGCCAATTGAGGAAATAAAATTAGCTTGCTCTCTCTGAAAGGGGAATAAAAGTACAAGAAATAAGAAAGCAGGAGGAAAAAGGAAGACGAAATAAGCGTTGCATAAATAATGTATAAGAAAAGGTACTTGGTGGCTGACGCAGCAGCTTCCTTCCAATACATATGGTTCAATTTCCAACTCCATCTATTTTCCACTTCAGCCGCAAGGGAGAGTGGCAGCGGGCACCCGGCGGGCGGGTCCTTGCGCCATGGAGCAAAGATAAACTACCTCAAGTTCAATCCATATGCTTTGAGCATCAGTCACTCCCCCCCAACAATGAGCCTAATGCAGAGTGGTTACACATGGAGAGAAAAGGGAAGGGGGAAAAAAAGGAGGAAAACGCGTCCCAGCACAGAGGAGATTCATTTGGGATGGCCGGCGGCTTACTAGGTTATCACTCACTTATCGCTGCTGTAGTGCGAGACGTGGAATGGCCGGGGAAATAGCTGTCCATCACCCAGAATACAATCAGCGGAGTACACGACTGGGGAGCTAATGGATGTTTCCACAGGGAGGGCAATTTGGTGAATGGGAAAGTGGACGGGTCCATCATGCTAGATGGGATTATGTGCGATTGTTATCCTTCACAAGCGTGATATGACGGTCAAGGGGTGTAATGTATATGAACAAGGGAGACATTAAATAGTAATCTCTCCACAGCCCACTCGCAGCCAATCAGCCTGCCCTCGTCCCACATTTTCTTTTTGTGACCAGGCACACGTTCTAAGTAGCACTTAAACAAAAAAGCTGCTGAAATATGCAGAGCAGCTCGCTCTCAAAAATAAATTAAATTCTTATCTGTGGACTCAATTCAAGTGCATTTTTAACCAAATCAATGCAATTTATGGAATGAACTGACAAAACTGAACTTTCGACATAAAAAGAAATAAATATAAAGTCGAGTCCTTGTCAAAAAGAACACATAAAAGTTGAAAATGGCCTTGCAGAGTTGGGGCTTTGCATATCTGAGGCATGACTTTCAAGTATTTGTCCCTTCTCACATCACATACGGAATAATACGCCAATGTTTACATTTCATCAGTAGAGAGCGATCATCCAAAAAAGTAAAAAAAAGGCAGCAATTGCATCACACAGTTTCTGGCGGGGCAGTTGTGGTGCCATAAATCTCCTTTCCAGTTTCAGGAAAATAAGCCTGTCACAAACTCCACATTTCCTCTAATATCCCTTCAGTAAAAGCTCCCAATCTGCAGCTTCACGTCCTCAGATATCCAGCGGCGTAAACGCTGAGGCCTCAGAAGATGTGTTTGAGGTGCTTCATGCCGTACAACTTGAAAAACACCAGGAGGATTAGAGTCCACAGGCCCAGGATGAAGCCATCAGGAGGGTGCCAGTCTTTCTGCTTTGGTTTCTGAGGGGAGAAGAGGGGGTGAGACGAGTTAAGGTGAGGTGGGGACGGGAGATTGCAGGTTAGTAATAGTGTGTATATTTCTCCTGTTGAGGCCACCGCTGATTGTTCTGTCATTCACAGAAGCAGGCAGGCGCAGAATCACATATACACTCACTTTATCTCTTCACACACTTTATGTACACTATCTGCTGTCTCACACACACACACACACACGCACACACAAAGGTTCACACAAAAAGCGGGTGGTAAAGCTCATCAGTACACCTCCCCTGTCTTGTGTTTGTCCCATTCACTGCCACATCATCACTTTGTGTATGATTATACTTTTAAATCTCCCCCGTATTAAACATGCATCTCACAAGGAGCACATTTATATGCTAATGTGGCGGCAATATTCTGCGGAGAGATGAGATTTAACCTCTAAAAAATCTTCCTAACTCCTCTGCTGTCGACAAAGCTATAGATAGGCTGTGAGGACGCACTTAAGAGATTTTTGTTATCCCTCACTACACAAGCTGCCATTATCCAGTCAAGAAATCACCAGTCAGAAAAGGCATCCCCCAAAGCCACTACCCCAGGACTTGGCAAAGAGGATGAACACACAGCACGCACTCCAAGTCTGCCTGAATCACAAACTGTACACACAACGTTAGGACGACATACAGCGCAGTAAAGCTGCTACACAAATACTTAGGAGACTCGCGTGTGTCTAGCCTGCCTGAGCGCTACTACAGTACCCAGTGTAAGTTTACACTTTCTAAAGTACGTACACGTACACATGTACACACACGTACAAACACACACACACAAACACAAACACTGCAGTAGGAGCTAGAGCCGGGATGACAGCAGACTGACAGGTCCTGGAGGATTAGAAGCTGGTGTGAAATCAGAGTCCAGGGTCATCATTACCCACAAACTGAGTCTCACTACAGCCATAGAACAAGCTACAGCTATCCATCATACTGCACAGCATGTGCATCAAATGAAACCTGCATGAATCAATATTCCTTGATAAAACAATGTGAGAGTTACTGAGGTACACTGCTCTCCTGTAGGCGGTTGTTTCCATTAAAAGGATTAAAAAAAAGCTCTATAATCGCACTGTACGCTTCTCGCCCAGCGGCAAAGGGAAGACAATGTTAGTGATTAGCTGGTGAACATAGTGGAGCATCTAGAAAGCTTGACCCAGCTACTTTTTCCAGGAGTTTGTTCATAGCCAAATGGAACAAAAAGGATAGTGAATATCCTCCTGACTGACATGTGTCAGTAGCACTGATAAGATAACCAATAATTTCACATTTCTGTATTTTAAAAAGAAGCTCACAATCTGTAGTTTATGCACACCGGGGGGTAACAACCGGCTAAGAAGTAGTGAGCAAAGATGGATGATTTCAAATTCCACACCTCTTTTCTTATTTGTTAACAGTTCTGACTCTTGAGTTTTTTTAGCATTTAATTTTTCATCAAAAAAATTAAATTCACAAACATACTTAAGCCTCCATAGAACATAGAACGAAAATATGCGGGGCTTGCATGATTTCATAATCCATGCACTTTCGTTTCAAAAAAGTCACATATATCTTAGCAGAAAGTTGAAAAATGTTGCGTTTACTTCACTCAAGAGCAGCCATTTTCCCCTGTTGCCACTGGAACGTTATGAAGTGACGTAATTACGTGACGTGAACATCATCGAAAAGCTGCAAAGCCCGCGATGAAAACCTTACAGTGGTAAGTATATTAGTAGTATGTAAATTTACGTTAAAGTAAGAGATTGCACTTTGTGCACTGGAAGCACTTATTTTAACAGAAGATGTCTGTTTTGTATAGCTACCTCTGTAAAACAGGAAGCACACATTTTATTTTTTCATATTTTATTTATTCATTTTTACAGAAGTTGTAGTATATTCCTTTTGTAAAGCTACAGAACTTGTTTGACTCATCAATGTTTTGTAAGTTTGAGCCATGAGTTTATTAAGGTCTGAAATAAAACAAGATGAGAACTTAAATATTCCCAGCACTTTCTGTGATGTAGTATGCTTGCTTAGCATAGGAAGTAATAAGAAATGACTCTTTACATTAAGGTAGTAGCCTAGTGAGAACAGGGTGTTGGGGAAATAACTTTTTTTTCTCTTTTTCATCAAACCGCAGTTTTTGCAAGTTCCCGCAATTTCATCACATAAAATTGCATAAATACCCCGCATATTCCATCGCATTTTTTAAGAAAACGTGCCGCATAATCAAGGATTTTTGCCCACAACAATCACAAAAAACACTCTTTCTGGAAGGACTGTATTACAACTAATACAGTAGAAACTATACACTTTAATCCTGATGACTGGTGGCATTTCAGTGTTGAAACTGTCTGGTTACCTTGGAAGTTGTAGGGAAATTGATTGTGTACAACTTAATCGGACATCTAACATTTTGCTGAATTTCCCTTTTAATGAGAGGCTGAGAACTGCTGAATTGGCATATGTACAGTGAACTCCATCGCAGTACAAATAAGAGACTGGCACATGCTGTAGAGCTTGCTAAATATGTGCAGTGTCTGAAATTACCACCCACTAAGCACCAAATGCCAGTAAAATGTGTCTTTGGCAGCTATAATGTTCATAACACTGGCTGAGACTGTAACATTTGAACACTTCAGTGATATACAGTTTGTCCTGTTACTGAAACGTTCTCCCTGCTGACCACTGTTCTCTCTGTCCATCAGCCAATCAAAGAAAAGATTCAATTTGTGTGACAATCAGGCTTCTCAATGGCGGATTGTAATGCTCCTGCTACATAAAGCAGCATTATCCCTACTTGTGGAGACGGGGTGATGATGAACTTGACCCACAGTGATGAGTGTTAAAGTTAAACACTGCACCTGATTCTTTTCATGAAATTGCATTTAGAACAGCCATGATTACATGTTTCTTAGAATAATGAATATTAATTACTTTGGCTGGTGAACATTATTGTAATTTCTTATTAGTTTAACAGCTCTTGGTAAGTGAGGCGAAAAGTTAATTTCAGGAGCAGTGTGTGGCTGTGTACCATGCCTGTGTGCAACCTCTGTGCGCAGACTACTGTCTTTTCAATCCAAAGTTACTTACGTGACAACGCTTCCAATTCCTAATGTGGAAAGACTGAAAACAGCAGTAAAATTGGATTACGTCTGACTCCAAATTAATTTAACAGCTCGATCAAGTCAAATCAATAGAGGTCCACTCCCATCCAGAATGCTAAAGCAGAGACAGAGAGACATTTGCAGCAAACATCAGACCTGAGCTCCAGGCTAGGCATATTGTTGGACAGAGTCAGGGCTGAAGGTCCAAGGCAGAGAGCTTCATGTTTAAAGCTGCATTCACACTGCAGATATTAGCTAGTATTTTCTGCTTCTATTCATTTTTCATTGGCCAACAATGTCCAGCAATAACCACATATGGAATGCAATCAGAAAAAAGAAGATTGAAGTTAAATTCAGGCTTACACGCACATCAGTACCATTGTGAAATGGGCCAATCTTCCAGTCAGTCACAACATCTTTCCTACAGACACTATATCTACAGTACTGCCTGGCAGAAACCAAGGTGCAGGTTATGTGGTGGGAACAGCTCAGTGCTTCAACAGACAATCAGTCAGCAGCAGATAAAGAAGCATCTTTCAGCATCTGATTCAATGGTGTTTTTGTGAGAGAACAAGAGAAACTACATGTAACATGTCAGACAAGACAGCAGTTCATCTCGTTTGTCTGACATCAGACAAGCAGACATCAAAGTGGGTGTTTTGTCCAAAAATAGCCCTGAGTGAAAGGCCCTGAAAACTTACTTTCACAATTAACTTCTTATCATGAATGCTGAGAGCCAACGTGACCACATGAGAGATTTACCTATGTTTTTCTTGTCTATGCTCTTCCTACTGGACTAAGTTAAAACTGTGTGATTTCATGTACTTCCATGCACCAATCAGGATTGAGATTGACAGCTGTGGATCTATTTGCTCACGCTCCCAGGCCACTGTCAATCAAATCTGATTAAAACACACTGACACAGTGCAAATGAAGCAGATTACCAGAGTTTTTTACACTTTAGGCTGATGCATCGATTCAGGGGGTATTTACGTCTTGTGCTTGTGGTTTATATACAATAACAATACACCATACCATCATACAATTATGAAAGACACATTATTTAGGGCCTCAGCCAAGTTACTGTACAGTCCAGCACACCTGCAGAGCTGCTGCCCTTCACTCAACTCCTGCAGCAGCCTTCATTAGTGTCATGTTTCCCCTACAAGACTTTTTGTCTCAGAGCCTGATTTTAACTTCAGTTTCCTTTTTCCTTTTGATGTTGCTGTGCCAACTGCCTGCCAACTTTACTTAAGCGTTCATTATTGGCGGGGCAAATGCAAACAGAAATAACGCCCTTGAAGGTATGTGGTTCTCAGGGGAACTCCCTGGGAGTCACCAGAACAGTTTGGTCCAAAAATCCTATTGTTGGTCAATAAAAATGAATATAAGCAGACGATACTAGTCACTATCTGCATGTTGAATGCAGCTTTAAATGTGAAGCTCTTTGCCTTGAACCTCCAGCCCTGACTCTGTCCAACAATATGCCTAGCCTGGAGCTCAGGTCTGATGTGTTCTGCAAATGTCTTGCTGTCTCTGCTTTAGCATTCTTTATGGGAGTGGACCTCTATTGATTTGACTTGATTGAGCTGTTAAATAAATTTGGAGTCAGACGTAATCCAATTTTAACTTTGGATTGAAAAGACAGCCTTGAAAAGACAGTAGCCTACGCACAAAGGTTGCACAGAGGCATGAGTACACAGCCACACACTGCTCCTGAAATTAACTTTTCGCCTCACTTACCAAGAGCTGTTAAACTAATAAGAAATTACAATAATGTTCACCAGCCAAAGTAATTAATATTCATTATTCTAAGAAACATGTAATCATGGCTGTTCTAAATGCAATTTCATGAATAGAATCAGGTGCAGTGTTTAACTTT